TCAGCTGATAATTACTGCGGGACCGATTAACATCCCTAGTTCGATATAAAAAATAATTATTACATATATATGTTTAAATCAGTATAAAGCTATTATATTTTTATTTTTTTTATATATGTAACATATTTCTCTTGATAAATAACTAAAATGGCCGATGTTCAAGAAACCAAATTAAAGTATCGTTGAGGAGCTTGTTTTAGTTGTCGGAAATGCATGTTTTGTGGAATTGATTTACAACAAGAAAAATGTAATTGTGACTTGTCTAATGTACCATGTAGAGGTAACCGAACAGATACTGTAAAATACGCATTTACAAGAATCTTTGATCCGAATTGGATTAAAGAAAAAGTAGACTTTGTCCAGCAAAAAATAAAATATTATAATTATTCATTAAGTTCAAAAGAGTATTTTAGTTTTACTTTGTGCACTCGCTGCAATAGTATTTTGTTAAGATTATCCTCAAAAGCAATAAAGACCCAAGTACAAAGTACTATAACCGATTCAGAAAATTTTAAAACAAATTAGCCGGCCGATTTTTTAATATACTGCATATAAAACTTAAAAAAATCAGAGATCGTTCAGCCGATTATTGATTATCAACTATTCAGGATTTATGAAAATCAATGGTCTTAATAAATGTACAATTTAATTTATACCTTTTTTTTAAAAGCATATTTAATTAGCAATGAATGGCGTCAATGTAATATAATTAAAGTAATTTATTAGTAACAAAAATTAGTACAAGTTTTTTTTTAGAGTTTAAAAATTACAGTAATTAGAAAATTGAATTCATATTTTGCCCAAAACTAATAATTGATTAAATTCGAAACTCTTAATTCCAATGCCCTAAATAATAAACATAAAATATCATATTTATTAATATTAAAAATGTTTATAACAAAATAATTTATGTGCGTATATAAACAAACCTTCGTTCTTCCTTTCGACATAATAGATTTAAAGACACTGCAGCTCGCCAAACAGGTAATATACTAATAATTATCATCAGAGTAAATATACAAAGAGTTATATAAACCCGAAAAAAAACCGCAAATATGTTACATTACTTACATTGCATCATGTTCTTTACATGGTTCAACATAAACAACTATACATCCCATATCTGAAAATATAATCAATTTTTAACTTCACGGACGCTATTATAATAATAATAATAATAATAAATGTTTATCGCATAATTTATTACCTAGTTCCTTCAATCTCTCCTGAAGTTTCTCATAAAACCGATCTATAAGTGGCATAGGTTCTGACAATAACACTTTAAGATCTTCTAATCTAAAATTTACCACCCTTTTCTTAGATATGTAAGGATACATCATTATTATACCCTCTGCGTTAAACCGGAGTCTACATTTTATCGGTTCATTTGTTTCTTGCCGAGTAAATGTTCTTACTCCCGAGTTTACCACCTATGAGATGGTTAGATATAATATCGAATGATGATTAAGCGCAAAATATTAAAAAATAAACGAATTATGGGAAAATACCTTCAATCGATGACAATCGGGTGCTTGCAACACTCGTTTAACAGATTCGGACACAAAATACAACATCTTGTTTTTCTCGTTTACTGATCGAACAAGCAATTGTTCTGTTGGAAATTCATGTGATAATCCATAATATTCCCTGATTATGAAAGATTATGATTAGTAGATGTTTTACATATAGAGACAACATAAATATCTCTAAGAACTAAACCTGATCAGGGAGATATCGGCATCATCCCGTTCCAAAAAAATGAAAGGCTCTTCACATGTTCGTTTTTGTTGTCCTATCTCTTGATTGTCATCCTCGTTATCAAGATTTATTTTGGTTTCAGGCTTTTCGAT